CCTCCCTCACCCTCCCCTGACAGGGCCTCTCCCCTGCGCTCCTCACCTCCCTCACCCTCCCCTGACAGGGCCTCTCCCCTGCACTCCTCACCTCCTGAGATCCTCCTAGCTGCTGACCTTCCCCTGTCCCAATCTCGAAGGACCTCTTTCCAGCTGTCGTTCCTGTTCGGGTCTCAGCTGCTCTCCCAGGGATCTGCCTTCATCCCCGCCCCAAACCCAACCGCAAACCCTGGGGAACAAGAGCTTCTTCGGTGTCAGTTAGTGAGCAATGGACACCAGCTTCCACATCCTGAAGCAGACGCAGCCGTCTGGACGGTGGGGAGTGGAGCAGAGGGGCTGCCACGGCCCAGCCTACGGGGCCTGAGCATCAGTGGGATGTGGATGGCTTGGCCCCAGCCGACCCAACACTGGGCGGTCAGCACAGTCCCCACGCTGCCCAGCATCGGCTGCAGCCCTGGAGCAGCCCCGGGTCTCCCACTGCACCTGCCCCGAGTGAGCTGGACGGGGCCACAGGCTGGCGTCCACTGGCAGGTCCTCTGGGTCATCTGCAGCTCTCTGCAAGGCCCCAAAACCCAGGGCCAGCACCACGCTGGGAAAGTCCAGCACATGGCCCACCCTGAAGGGAATCTACCAGGGCTGCAGGCCCAGAGCTGGCCTAGGGCAACCCCTACTTCCTGTTCATGAAACGCCCCCCTCCCCTGCCCACTGGGCTCTGCAGAGCTGCAGGAACAGAGGGGACCCAGAACTCGGGGCACCTAGGGCACAGGGAAACAATTGCCGGGGGCGGGGGTGTGGGGATGGGGGCTTCCCCACATGGACCTTTCCGGTCCCTCACAGGTGGGGCTCACCTGCCCTTCCATGAGGCAGAAGAGGCCTTTGGAGCCCCAGGTAGAGCCTGGTCGCCACCCGGTGTGAGGAAGCCCAGGGTTTGCGGGGAGCTCGTGCCCGCCATGGCTGTATCACACCATCAGGAACTGGGGGTCAGGCCTGGGCACTGCAAATGTCTCCTAAAACCCTGCTCCTGCAGGACAGCAGCTGGCTTGATTGCAACAAAATTAAAATATGACAAAAATAAAATAAAGCAAGAAAAAAGCAGCAGACAGTTTTCAAAAGGACCAAAGAAAAAACACCAGAACACAAGGGCAGATTCTGATTTCAGCCGTGAAGGTGGCAGGATCTGCTCCTGGCCGGTCACACACACCCAAACATTCAATGGAAAACCTGTGGGTCCCAGAGGGGGGAGACGCCATGAAAGAACGGAGGCTCCGCAGGGACATGTGTCTCCCCGACAGGCACAGGCAGCAAGACCCACTCTCCAGGCAAGGCCGCCTCCCGCCCCTGCTGGCCCCATGTGAGTCGGCACGCAGGATGGGGATGACAAGAGCCCGCACGGGAGTGGTGTGGCAGCTTCCATTCCTGGAACGTCCTTTCTCCAAGTGAGCACTGAGCAGACGATGTCAGCTGTTATTTCCATTTGCAAATGTACCACGTTTTCAAAGGGGAGAAAATGTCTCTCATCTGCACATCCGACCGCAGACTCTACAGAGATGTCAGGTCCCTGTGGGACAATGGCTTCCTCATCACATGGGTGCTAAGCACACACACACACACGGGCACAAAACACGTGCACATGCACATGTGCACACACATGCCCCACACACACAAGCACACACAACACACATGTACACATGCACAGACACGCAGCCACACATGCACACGCAATGCACACACACACGCACACACATGCTGCTCTCCCTGTGGAGGGACTTGGATGCCAGCTACAGAAACACTCGTTCCATGCCGGGGGCCTCACCATGAGGCGTGCAGGGCACAGGCCCTAGGACAGAGGTCCCCAGCTCTCCCGGCTGCCCCAGGCCCACCCCTGGCCCAGTACCTCAGCCCCAGGTCGGACCACCCACACCCTCGTCCCACACCCTCGTCCCCACCACCCGGGCCTCCAGTCTGGCTTCCTCAACCCCCCTCCAACCGACAACCAAACGCACCTTGGAACCGGAATTTCAGTCCTCAGCTCAGCCCTTGCCGTGGGTCCGAGCACGTGAGCAGCTCCGCTGTTCAGGCTGGCCATCCCACCCGACGCTGACCTCCCCGCCAGCTCCTGAAGCCAAGCCTGGCCACCGTCATGCCCATGGCCACATCGCCCTCCTCACCAAGAGCCCAGAGGGCCTCGCCCCATGCGCCCGGTCCTCAGAGAGGCCTCTGGTGCCACCCTACAGGCATGCATGCTTGGCCACAGGCCCCAGGCAGTCCTGCCAGGAAGACCTGCAAGGGCAGCGTCTCTTGTCTCTTCACAGTGACATCTGCAGCACCCGATCCAGAGCAAAGCACAGCGCCACGCTCCATAAATACCTGCCCCATATTAGATGAGGGGTGGGGAGAGGGTCTGTGCCTCAACCTGGCAGTGCCAGCCCGAAACCCTCTGACTGGTCATCTCCCCCAGCCCAGAGCCCACTCTCTGTACAGAGTCACCTTGCAAACGCTTCAGACCAGTCACCTTCCCCAGCCACTCAAGCAGCCTTGCCACCTGTCTGGCCCCCACGTAGCCTTACACTTCACAGACTGGACCTGCTGAAAAGCACACCCAGCCTCGTTGCCAGCTCTCCATGGCCCCACCAGGGATGCTGAACCAGCCCCAGAGGGAGCCCCCAAGTTCTCTGAACCCCACGGGGAGTGGGCAGGGAGCCGGAATGTGAACAGTGAGCCCGAGGAGGATCTGGCCAGGTTCACCGGGAGGCAGGCAGTGGACTGACTGTAACACAGAAACGTGGAGCGTGGCATAGACGGCAGAGCCCAGAGACCCAGTGACAGCCCAGGCCTGAGCTCCCCACAGACAAACCAGACTCCACATGGGAACACCAAAGCAAAAAGGCACCTTATTGCTAAGTCATGAATGCAAAAGAACATGCTTCAGTGGTTCTTACCTGGTAAAATTCCCGAAGCCAGTTCTTCTGCAGGTTGTCTGGCTGTAAATTAAGAAGAAAAAGAAAAGCCAGTCAGACCCATGGCACAGCCCAAACAGAGCCAGGAGAAGCTCCTATGAAGATGACGTGGGGTGGCCTCATAGCAGAAGCCAGGGAGCCCAATCCGGACGGGAAACCCAGTCCCACGGGAGACCCAGCTCCATCCCTACGGGAAACCCAGTCCCACGGGAGACCCAGCTCCATCCATAAGGGAAACCCACGGGAGACCCAGCTCCA